ACAGTGTGGGGGGAGGGATACGGTTTGCCATATAACTCAAGGAAAAACGTGGACACTGAGGGAGACCACCTTGGAGTTGGAACTCGTGGAGAGCATCTCAGTCAAAGAAGTAATGGTATGCTAGTTTGAATCACATAATACGAGTCAAGCATCTGGTGTCTGCTAACCAGCAGGCCCAGCGTGAAGTGAAAACATGAAGTTTACAATTAGCTTTGGCACATAAAAATTCAAAATGTGCGTGTGTGTTCAATATTTGTATGACCGTGTGTAAGGAAGGGGGTTCCGGTCGTTTCCACGCTCTCGCAAAAGCGAGGCGAGCCGCTATAAGGACATGAGACACTATAGTTCTGGAGACTGAAGGCAATTCATCCAGACCTACCCGCAACAAGGCAAGTTGTGGGGAAACTCTGCAGGGGAGCTGAGTAATTGCGGAGATAAAAGGTAAAAACCACAGACCAAAAAGGGCTAAGTGAGGGGCAAGACCACCAAACATGCGTCAAAGACCCCGCAATGCCACAGTTCCGCCAGCAGTGTGGTGAGGAGGAGGAGTACATTTTTGCCAACTTCTGTGGCATAAAGTACCATTTATGCAATAGTTTCTGTTGGGATTCCCAGTGACTCAGGCATTGCAATGTTTTCAATGGCCATGAGACCGCATTGTACCATTTTTCTAGAGAGAGGGAAAAATTTAGTTCAGTTTCCCACCACTTCATAGAGGGTTACTTATCAATAGTTTTCAGTTCGCTAAGTATATCATAAAAAAAGGAAATCCCTTTCCTGGATGGGGACCATAGAAATGTATACACCTCCTAATAACCGTACTAACTCATACAGAATCTGATTCTGAGGTATTTGTAGAAGTCCCGAACTGGGAGAGAGTATTTCTGACATAGTATCTCAAATGGAAGCAGGAGGTCGTTAGCATACAAATCAGTCACATGCGAGTTTTGCCCAATTGGACAAGTGCATGTCTTGTAGGATAAGATCAAGAGTTGGTAATGGTATTAATTTAAGGATCGATTTGTTATGAGATTGAGGCCGAGAATCTAGGGCATGCCAGACCCGTAAGGTTGCGGTCACTGTGTCCAGAAAAGATTTAGAAGGGGTGCTGTTTAATAGGAAAGAGCATAACAGAAGTTTCAGATCCGTGGTTAAGGAATCTCGTTTTATGTGGGACCATAATTTGTCAGGATGGGGAGAGCACCAAAACTTAGTCTGGTCCAGTAGGTTGGCTTTATAGTATCTGGCGATGTCAGGAGCACCCATGCCTGCATAGACTTTGGGAGTGTAAAGGTTTGATCTTGAAATTCTATGCCTGTTCCCATTCGATATAAAAGGTGTCAATAATGCTCTGGAGTTTCCTTAAGTGGGAGGGCAAAAGGGGTATGGGGAGAGCCCGAAACAAATATAAAATGTGCGAAAGAATGAACATTTTGACAAAATTAATCCTGCCCGCCCATGACACAGTGGATCGATTCAACTCCTTGCAAAGGTCCGATATCTTGAGCAGGAGTGGGGTATAATTAAGATTAAAGGAGGTTAGAACTAGGGGCCGTCAGGGGAGCCCAGGAGAATGAGGAGATGGAGCTAATAATATGTTTAGTAGTAGACGTAGGGACGTTGATGGCCAGCATTTGGGATTTGGAGTGATTGATTTTAAAAGGAAGTTTTGCTAAATCTCATAAGGATCTCTTGAACTGCTGGGAGTGAACGTACAGGATCAGTCATAGAGATTATTACATCGTCTGCAGACAGCCCAATTTTGTGCATGCACCTGCCCATAGAGACTCCACTGATGGTGGGGCTGTCATTCTGAATGTCGTCAATACGTAATTTTGAATGTCGTCGATACAGCCTTTAGGTATTCCCAATGCACCCTATCGAAGGCCTTCTCTGCATCCAGGCAGAGGAGCAGAGAAGGTATTGTATCTACTGCAATACACAGAATGTTCTGTGTATTGCAGTAGATCAACTATGTGCCTGGTGCCATCTGGAACCTGCCGACTGTAGACAAAGCCGACTTGGTCTGGGTGGATTAGGTCAGGGAGGACCCGCAGGAGGCGATTAGCAATAAGTTTTGCTTAAATCTTAACATCTGTGTTTAGTAATGAGATCGGATGAAAGTTAGCAGGGTCGTCCGTAGGTTTAGGGATCGTGATAATTGCGGCTTCCAGGGATTCCCTAGGAAAGGATCACGTGGCTGCAGCCTCATTAGCAATAGTACATAAATGTGGGGTCAAGGCGGAGGAGAACGTTTTATAGTATTCGGCGCTGTAGCAATGAGGACCAGGGGCCTTATGTAGGGGCAGATCAGAAATGACCTTAAGGACTTCCTTTACCTCAAACGGGGATTGCAACTTTTGAGAGAAGTCCTCCGACAAAGAGGGAGCTCTACCGAATTTAATACGTTTTGAATGTCAATGGTGGATAGAGGAGGGGAGGTCGATGAGTCTTTCAAGTAATATAAGGAGTAGTAGAATTTACTTAACTGATTAGCTATATCCAGAGGGTTAGAGAGTCTCTTGCCTGTGAGGTCAGTCATGTAAGGGATTCTAGTAGTCTCCTTTACGTTGTTTAAATTGTTGGGCTATAAATTACCCGGTTTTATTGCCCTGAGAGTAGTATTTTAGCTTAAGTCATTTTATCATAAAGTCGTACTGAGAGGTCAGGTGCAGCCTTAGCTCATGTCTGAGGGAACGCAAGGTGGAGGAAGTGGAGGGATCTGGGACCTTTTTATTAGACAATTCTAGAGTGCGGATGTAGTCCAGAAGTGAGGTCAACGCTACAGTTCGCTTCCGCTTCTCCCTTGCCCACAGCTTAATCAACAGCCCCCTAATAAAGGCCTTATGTGCATTCCACACTACCGTGTGTTTGCTAGCAGAGGAGGTATTGAGTTCAAAGAAAGATCCTATTTCAGTCTGGACCTGCAGTTTATGGTCAGGACGAGAAAGCAAACTAGAATTCAATCTCCACGAAGTGGAGAGGCAGGGGGAGTTGTCAGAAAAGAGTCAAAGCGAGACAGGCGTGTGGTCACACCACGTAATTAGGCCAATGTCAGCTTCGGTGATGAGTTGTCGAGCAAATTTGTCTACTAAAAAACATGTCCAGTGTGGAATAGGAGCCTTGTGTGTGAGAAAAAAAGGTATAGTCTTTCTCACTGCCATGTGGGCATCTCCAGGCATAGTGTAGATCAGCAGACCTGAGGATAGAGGGAAGGGAGCTATTACCTCTCCTATGAGGGTTGGAGGAGTCTAAGGACGGATCAAGGATATCGTTGAAGTCACCACATATAATAAGGTGCCCTTTACACATGGCATCAATTGTACCCAGTACCTTAGAGAGAAATTGATTTTGATTGGTGTTTGGTGCATACAAACATTGACTAAGGTGAGGATGCGGTTTGTTAATCATGGCCACCACAACAATAAACCTGCCATCCGGGGCTATCAGAAGGTCATGTTGTTGAAAGGCGACTGATGCCCTGACAGTTATCATAACTCCTTTTTTTTTTTTTTCTGAATGGGCCCGCCCCTTTTAATTGTGGATCATGCGTTTCTTGTTTTAGGTGGGTGGATCCTCTCTCAGGTGCTGCCCTGGAAGATGACTTGGTGGAAAAAAAAGAAGACTTAAAGAAGCACCCCGGGCATAAATATTCTTAACCCTCACAGTGGGGCTATCCCCGCACTGCAAGGGTTAAGTGCTCATTTTCGTTTAGGGAACTAAAAAAAACCACAAAGATATACTTATCCTGAATGTTGAGCCTGGCTGGCTGCTAGACTGGTCCCTGCAGTCTACAATCTCACATTTAGTTTGCTAATTTGTATTGAGATTATAGTCCATCATAAGAGTGAGCTCGAAGCAGTGACTACTTTACAACACAAACAGGGACCATGGGGAACAAAAGTAGCCACAGAAGAAAGGACAGTGTCAGCACCAATTCAGAGATGATTTGAGCATCTACAGCTGAGTGATACACATGAGATACAGTTTTGTGTCATAATGTGTGTTTCATCAATATCAAAAATTGTCTGGTTGCAAAAAGGTTTAAAGAACAGGATTTTTTAAAATTAACCCTTGCAGTGGGGCTACCCTTGTGTCTAGGTTAAAAAAAAAAAGTTATACTCACAAAAAACCCAGAGCCTGCTTCTTCTTAGACTGGACCGGAAGGACGTTCCAACCTCTCTCCCCCACCTCTGCAGCGGTTTGAGGTCCCCTGTAAATCATAGTCTATACACAGTGTATAGATGTGAGGATGATGAGGAAGATTGCAATGTTGCAGTGTGGGGCAGAGAGACTGGAGGGAGAGATGTGACAGCTGGCCGGCTTGGAGCTTCGGGTGGGTAGAACCCCACTGCAAGGGTTAGTAGAAAAAACTTCCTGGAGTTCTTCTTTAAGTACAAAGTGGAATCTTATTAGAAAATGTATTTAATAATACCACAACAAATTCCCTTTAAATGTTCAGTTCACCCAATATGTATATATTTCAGTTTTGATAGATTTGTTTTTTTCATCTGTCAAGCATTCTGATAACAAAATCTCTGTTACTGAATTCCCAAGTCCAAACACTACTGCGCTTAAAAAAAATTAAAATAAAATAAAAAATGATGGCATATGCAACCAAGACAAGTGACAACATCTGAAACGAAGAGTAAACAGCCACAACCAAAGTGAGTACTAAAACAGCAAGAAAATATGTCTGGAAGATCTTGACTGATTTCACTAGGCTCCACCTGTAATATTTATCACTTTTTGTACTTTTTTTTTTAACAAATATTATAGTAGTTGGGATGTGGACAAAATAATGTTGAATGTGGGAGGATAGCCATGTCTTAAATGGCCAAAGGAGTAACCTCAACAGAACAGACTGCCCTTTTTAAAAAGCTATTGCAATGCAATAAGGCTTAGTCATAAAACTGAGACATTGTGGAATAAAATTGTGCATGAGCCACACTGTGCTTCGGTTCAGTTCAAAGACAGGCGAAATTAAAATAAAACATTACCTGGGAGAAGAAGGCTGGTGTTAGAGATGCTGTGGTTAGTGAAGGGCTGAGGATACCCAAGGGGTTAGAATCACTTGTGGTGATTACCAATGTGGGAGTCAACTCTAGCTCTTTAGGTTTTTTAGATTTTCCAGTCTTCATATCTAGCACATAGCGTTCAGGTTCATGCTCAGCTTCCAGATCAGGTTCAAAATCATGTTCAGATTCTGGATGAGTTTGAGGCTCAGGTTCTGCCTCCTGCAGTTTTGGTTCCTGAACAGTCATTGTTACTTCACTCGGAAAATCAAGGGACTCTGAAGTTACTGATTCCAAATCTGTGTCGACGGTCATATCCTGATTAGAAGTCAAAGCTGGTGATAAAGTTCCAGAAGGCACCAGAATGGGTGAGATGCAAGTGGTTGGAGGCGGAAGACAGGAGTCAATGGTTATGTCTGGAGGAGGATCTGCAGGTTTGTTTCGAGGTTCTGGGGGCTGGGGAGGATCTGGTGGGACAACAGGTGTAGGCTCTGGATTTCTGCCTGGTGTTGTCACAAACTTAATCACTGAGGTTGGTGGCTCTAAGGCTACTTTCTTCTCTGTTAAAGTTTCCACAGCTACAGGTCTGAAAAGCTTTACACCAGCTGTGTTCAGTGAGTTAAGTGTAAACGATGTATACAGACCAGAGTGAATGTAATCGTTACGTCCTGACGATTTAGCAGGAGGATATGGCAGTCGCTCCTTGTTACAATTTTCTTTGTCTCGCAAAACACAGGTGTTGGCAGCATCAGATGAGTTCCCATCCATTTCTTCTCCTCTGCCCAAAGCCAGTGGATCCATAGTAAGAATGTCCGGGTATGAGACGAACTTATAAACAAACTTTTGCCCATTTACTTTTTTGATAATGTTCTGAAGAAAAGAAATATGATTAACAACATATTTCTCCATTTATTAAAATAACACAGAAACATTTAGTAAACTCCAGCAAGTCACAGTGAAGTACCCAAATATTTCAGATCATTAACTGTAGCCACTGCATTAGCCATATTACACTACATCCTTCACATATACAGGTGAAACTCGAATAATTAGAATATCGTGCAAAGTTAATTTATTTCACTAATGCAACTTAAAAGGTGAAACTAATATACGAGATAGACTCATTACATGCAAAGCAAGATAGTTCAAGCTGTGATTTGTCATAATTGTGATGATTATGGCTTACAGCTCATGAAAACCCCAAGAACCCCAAATCCACAATCTCAAAAAAGTAGATTATTACATGCAAACAATAAAACAAGGATTGTACATAGAACAATATCAGACCTCTGAAAAGTACAAGCATGCATATGTACTCAGTACTTGGTTTGGGCCCCTTTTGCAGCACTTACTGCAATTACTTTTGCACGATATTCTAATTATTCGAGTTTCACCTGTAATATAGCAATAGAATGTTGTGGGCTCTGCACATTTTCCAAAAGTGCAGACTCAGAACTTGTGACATAACTAGAAGGGTGCTGATCCCAGGAAAAGTTAAAGTGGGACTCCAGCCATAACTTTCATTTTGAAAAAAACTCAAATTTTTATTAGCTTCCCATTTCCCTCACTTTCTGTCAACGTTATAATGGAAACAAAAGAACTTCTCTTCAAAAGGACATAGACACCAACATTTTAAGTAGTGTGAGGAAGGGTTTGAACCTCTGTTATTCTTTCTGTACCCTGTTGGGGCATGGGGATACTCACTTCCTCTCAATAATCACATGACAAAGGTTTGAGAAAATCTCCCTAAAAGAAGAATAAATAGCAAATCACATGCCGGAATGGAGGACTTTATGACCGTGAAATGTTAGGACTTTTAAAGTTTGCTGGATGATGCACAAACTCATGTGGATTTCAGTCAAGATCTAAGTAAACTTTTAGTATTTTCCAACTAACAAACATATGAATCAAAGAATTCTAAGGTCAGCTATATCTTATGTTAACACGCAAGTTCTGACGTGCATAGTGCAAAGTCTGGCAGGTCTATAATATAAACACATTTCAAGAGACTTCTGCATGCTGTAGCATGAACCAATGGTGTGAAAGTGGATAATGTGAATGTGCATAGTGTATCACAGTGTTCATTTAGACACTTTGGTTTCTAAGGAACAATAGGCATTTACTTTTCAGACAACCTGTCTGGTATTGTCCTGGAAATATATCTCATGTCTTGGTAAATTCATGCAATGCTAAGGAATAGAATTTTAGGTTTCACCTGATGGCTGCTTCTGAAACTGCAAGTTTCTTTTATACAGCAAGTAGCCTATTCCTAAAGACCACTTCTGCCTATATTTATTTTATGCCTTTTCAGTGAATAGGAGTTCCCATACAGAGGCTGAAGCCAAAGAAAATTAGCGTCTCCAGGGCAAAGCTGCTATGCCACTGATTGATGTCCGCAAATGGGTATGGTTTAAAAACCTGTACGTAACAGTTTTCTTAATATGTGCTAGAGTTTCACAAGCAGCACCTAACATAGAAGACCCTTCAAACATAGTATTAATAACCCTGAAAAGAATAGAACTCCACGATTAGATGATATGTGTACTCTTTACCTTTACATAATAGTAGCGTAGTGCCCTGCTCAGTTTGTCATAGTTCATACTTGGCTTGTTCTTGCGCACACCCCAAAGCCGGGCCACTTCCTCAGCCTGCAGAAGTTTAAACTCCCCATCGTTTGACGTCCAACATATAAGTTTGTTGTGGTGAGGTTCCTGAAGAAGCTGAAGTAGAAACTGCCACAGAGTAACCGCGCTATCCATTATTATACTCTGGAGGGGAAAAAAATAGCCACACCTAAATTACATTTTTCATCTACACACAGCAGACATAATTCAACTGAACCAATTTTGTCAATGTCACTTAAAGCGGTCCTTTACCCATATCTTTAAAATAACAAACACACCTTTAAAAATGTTTAGTAAATGACCTCTACAAACACATACTACTAGATAATTGCAGGCTTTGTATTCTCTGCATACCTTATTTCTCTTTTACTTCCCAGTCTTCTAGCACTGGCCATGTTAACTAAGGGCAGATTACTAGCTGCTAGATTTACTTATTTGAACTCTGGCACATGTGACTAGACATGTGACCATGCACATAATCTCAGGGGAGGAAAATGCCTTTCCCTGAGATCTAATGAGATTACAGATGAGATTTCCCAGCAATGCTCTGCTGCTGTAACCTTCCCAAGATGCAACGCTTTGGCCCTTACATAATTTCTTCCAGAACTGGACCAGGAAGTAGTTACATAGTTAGTCAGGTTGAAAAAAGACATATGTCCATCGAGTTCAAAATATAGAGATATGAGGGAACAAAGAAATAAATAAAAAATATTCAATATCCAGTAATATTCTGTGCATTTAGGAATACATCCAGATTTTTTTTTAAACAATCAACTGAGCTAGCTAGAACTAGTTCAAGTCTATTCCACATTTTACAGCTCTAACTCTTTCTGTATGCAAAAGGTTAAACCTCCTTTCCTCCAGACGCAGAGAGGCCCCTTGTCCTTTGCAGTGACCTTAAAGTGAATAATTTGGGACCAATCTCACTATATGGACCATTTATGTCTTTATACATAGTGATCCATGTCCCCCCTTAATCGCCTCTTCTCAGGAGAGAACAAATTAAGGTCAGCTAATCTTCCCTCATAGCTGAGCTCCTCCATGCCTCTTATGAGTTTAGTTGCCCTTTTCTGCACTGTCTCCAGTTCCACAAGATCCTTTTTTTGTGAGCTGGTGCCCAAAACCAGGGTGGATAAAAATCGATAATGTTTTAAAAAAAAAAAAAAAATTGGATTTTTATCAAACTTATTTTAATAAAATGCTTTTGGAGTAAAAATCTCTGCAAGCTGAGATAACATGCACTGCATTGATGCATTCACACAATTTCACAGTAAGTAACCATGAGATAAATCATAAAACAAAAGTTCAGGAATATTCCTTTATCCCATTGTTTTGCAAATCTTTGTGAAAAACCAATGTAAAAATGAAAGTGAAACCTTCTAAGCAGCTTATAAACCTTGTGATCTTTCTGCACATAGCTTGAAAGTGCTTTATTCCTCCCTTGAGAAGCAAAATGGCAGCAGGCCATAAAAGAGACTCAGTTTGGGAATATTTTAATGAAGTTCCTCTACCTATAGGTAAAGCAGGTATGCATGCAAAATGCAAGCAATGCAACAAAGAGATGCAAGGCCTGGTGGCCCAAATGGAACATCATGAGAAGTGCTGTGATGAAAGGACCATGTTTGAAGAGGTAGGACCTTTAGGTTGGCAAACTGTTTTTCTTTCACCATATTTTTTAGACTGCCATGAAGTATTGTTATGCTAAAGCAAGAATGTATATCTGCTATTGTTACTGCATTTTTATACAGTTGCCAAAAAAAGAAATAATGAGTTGAAATATGCAAATATTCCTTTTTAGGCTGTACTGTGTGTGAATACAATGAGAAATTCACAATAAGCATACATGGTTTAAATAATAAAATAACAGCATTGACTTTTTTGTTTAGGTGAAACCATAATCAACATAAAAGATTCTGGAAACTATCCACTTTCTAAATCGTCATCCTCTTGTTCTACAGTTTCAGAGTTATCTCTCCAGGATAGTGCATCAGTCACATCAGTGCATCAGTCACATCATTTACACATATCCGCAATATATCACCTAAAAGAAAGAAACCATCTGGAACCACCACCATAGATACGTTTGTGAAAAAACCCCAGCAGATTAGAAAAAGAGAGTTAATTGATGAAAAAATTGCTAAGTTTGTTTATGCAACAAACTCTTCTTTTCATCTGCTTGAAAACCCACACTTTGTTAATATAATTCAGTCACTGAGAGCAGGATATAGTCCACCAAGTAGATTAGATGTTGCAGGGAAACTGCTGGATACAGTATATGATAAAGAAATTATGCAATGTGCAACAAGTGTAGAAGGTAACATTTTTAACCTAAGTTAAAGTTAAATGATTCTATTGTATGTGCTTGTATAACAACAGAAGAAGGGAATGTATTCCTTACACAAACGATTGATACTTCAGGAAATGTACACACAGCAGCATACTTCGAAGAAATAGCAGCAAAAGTTATGATAACGTGAAAAAAAATTCAAATCAAGTACGCAGTTTGGTCACAGTTCACAGACAATGCTGCAAATGTGTCCAAAATGAGAAGAAATTTAGAACATGAAGAAACTACCAAGCTAATAACATATGGTTGTAGCGCTCATTTGATGCACCTCCTAGCCAAAGATTTCTGTGTCCCAGAAATAAAGAGTAATGTTGTTGAAATTGCTAAATACTTCCATAATCATTTTGCTACAAGTACTTGTCAAAATGCCCCGATACACAGCGCCGAAGCTCGCGCCATGTTTTTCTTTTCTTTACTGACCTTGCCGAGTGTCGCGTCACTGCTGCTCCGGTGGGCGGCGCTCCAGGTGCCAGAGAACAGCGGCAAGTCAGCGCTGGTCCGGTGGGAGGAGCTCCAGGTGGGGGTCCTAATTTAGCTGCCCGGCACCTCTGGGCAGTCCCCGGCCTGCTAAATTAGGACCCCACCTGGAGCTCCTCCCACCAGACCAGCGCTGACTCGTCGCTGCTCTCCTGCACAGCGCCGCACATCGTGAGCAGTGAGTGAGGCAAGGGGGATCCCTATTAAGCAGAGGATAATTGTAAATCTATTGTCTGCAGTGTATACGCTATATTGTAAATCTATTGTCTGCAGTGTATACGCTATATGTAGTACATATAGCGTACACACTGCTGACAATAGATTTACAATTATCCTCTGCTAATATCAATGGATTAAATGATCCATAGTACATAACATGTAGTTGTACTACGGATCATGTAACCTATTCATGTTAGCAGTGCAGAATTGTAAATCTATTGCTGCAGTGTATTCTATATGCACTGTACATGTACAGTACACATTCCCAATTCACTGCAGCAATAGATTTACAATTCTCTCCTGCTAACATGGAAAAAAAGTTTAAATGATCCGTAGTACAGCTACATGTTATGTACATATTATGTACTATGGATCAGAATTGAACCTATTCATGTTAGCAGGGGATATTTGTAACTAATACTGCAGTGTACTGGACGTGTGTGCTGTATATGTACTACGGATCATGATTTAACCTATTCATGTTAGCAGGGGAGAATTGAGAGCGCCTCCCACAAGCTGAGCACCGAGACGCGATGCAGCTATCCTGCCCAGCGCCGACTACAAGAGGCACAGCGTGAGGCAACAGGGATCGGAGTGAAACTGTGAGTGAGGGAAGCTGGGACAGGGCTGGCTGTAAATCTATTGCTATAGTGTACTATAAGTGTGTACTGTATATGTAGTACATATACAGCACACACCTCCACTACAGCAAATAGATTTTTCTGTTTTTGAAGCTTTAAAACAAAATCCAGAAAAATTGTTTTATTACTGATGCTGTTGAAATTTGGAAGGAACGAAGTGAGCACAAACAGAACTACACAAACAGAAATTACAAGATTTAAAAAAGCGAATGGGACAAGCACGATCTCCAGCTCATTTTCTCCCAAACATTGTCAATATCCGGTACCAAGGGAAAACCCTAATTGCTGAAGAAGAGGAGTTAGCCATGACATAGGTATCCAGCAATCATCCATCTCTGCTGCCAACTATAATGAACTTCAGAGCCAAGGAGGAACCATTCACGAAATATATGTTTGCTGATGAGGTTTTAAAGAAAGTTTCACCAGTGAAAGTCTGTGTCTCTTAAAGGAGAATATGGGGTTAAGTCTTTTCCCCATAGTTATCCTTAGGGTAACGGGAGGACACAAACTAGCGTCCTCCCGTCACCCTAAGCTCAGTATACCGCGAGCTGTAGCTCACGGTATACTGAGACGCCGCAGTATACCGCGAGCTGCTGCTCGCGGTATACTGAGACGCTGCAGCTGAAGCGGATCCCGACAATTGTGCCGGGATCCGCCCAGCTGTGTGAGCCACAGCTGGCTCTGCCTATTTAGGAGGCAGAGCCAGCTGTACACGCCCCCTCCCCCGTCCGTTCCGCCCGTCAGCGCTGGCGGATCGGAGCGGGGGAGGGGGGAATCCAGCCCCTCCCCTGTCACGGCACAGAGCCGTGACAGGATCGAGAGGTGAGCGAACCCGGTATGTGTTCGCTCACCTCCCGATCTACTGAGCCAACCTGTGACAGTCTCATTGTCACAGGTCGGCTAGAACTATGAGGTGAGTGGAAAGCACTCACCTCATAGTTCTCTTTTAAGCACTTGGATTCAGAAATTGTTCAAGTAATGATTTCACTTTTAACTGCAGTTGCCTCTTCTGCTGGGTTTGCAAGAACATTCTCTTCCTTTGGACTTGTTCACTCTAAATTGAGAAATCGTCTAGGGCCTGATAAAGCAGGAAAGCTTGTTTTTCTTTTCCAGATCATGAACAAACAAGAGAACGAAGATGAAAATGAGTGAGCTGCAGCAGACCGTGTTTGAAGGTTTTGTTTATGTGGACCCAGCTGATATATTAAGTTATTTTTATTGTTTTTATTAAAAGATATTTTGTTTATGCACTGCAGTTACTAACATTGATGTTTAAGCAAATACAAGAATATGTAACATAATATTTTTATTAAATTTGAGTAGTTCAACTATGTGCGATTAACCTATTACCTAAAATCATTTCCGATATCGCTTTTTTACTAACCTGACAGCTTATTATTCTAAAATATGAAACCTTCATTTTGATGAAGCAAGAATGAGTCCTTACATTTAAACAGCACTTAGCAGGCATCCACTCACCTGCTGCCTGCCATGTCCCTCACCTTGTTGTGTCACTGCTGCATTACCAGCCGTCCTATTAAAGTGAATGGGACTGTCGGTGAGTCAAAAGTGGGTCAGAGATGACAGTTGCGCTTTAAAAATTATTATTTAAATTGAGTTGATTTAAACCAAGCCTTTTTACTAGTGAGTTAAATCAGGATTTAAAAATCGACTTGATTTAAAATCAAATCCACCCTGCCCAAAACTGAATTGCATATTCCACATGAGGTCTTACTAATGCTTTGTACAGGGGCAGGATTATGTCTCTCTCTCCCTGGAGTCTAGGGCTGCAACAACTAATCGACATAATCGATTATTGAAAAAGTTGTCAACTTTTTCAATCATCGATTAATCGGCTTCCGATTGGTTGGCCCTGTTCACGGCTCCACACATGCTGCGCACCACACCTTCTCCCCACCTCACGCTCGGCGCTGCCAGACCCGCCCGGCCGCATTCACGCTCCACACGCCGCACCTCCTCCCCACCGCCCGCCTACATCCACGATCGGCACAGGGACGTGGGGAGAAGAAGTAAGGTGTGGGCGGATGGCAGCCGCCGATAGACAGGCCCGATCTCAGAAACAAGTTGCTGGAAGACTGCTCAGGTAAGCCTGCACTTTCCCCCCACATGGTGCTCTATAATGTATTGCTGGGATAGTGGGATTAGTATGCCTCTATAGCTGATGGTACATTGTGCTGTACTGTATATTATACAGAGCAATGTACCATCAGCTATAGAGGACTACAAATCCCAGCAATACATTGGAAACTGTATGTATAATGTATTGCTGGGATTTGTTGTATTCCTATATAGCTGGTGGTATTCTGCATTGCGCTGTATAGAGGTCTACAAATCCCAGCAATAATACATTATACAGCGCAAAGCAGAATACCACCAGTTATAGAGGAGTACAACAAATCCCAGCAATAATACATTATACAGTGGTGCAATGCTGAATACCACAAGCTATAAAAGGACTACAAAACCCAGCAATAGTACATTATACAGCGCAATACATCTAAACTGTGCATGCACCTGCCCCAAGATCCTTTGCGGCAGCCCGAGAAATTTTCAGATGTTCGGACGGGATCGTGCGGCGGACACAGGCAAGTATTAACTCTTTGAAAACGTTTTGCTTATATCTACTGCTTGCTAGTTCACCCATATGTTGTGGCTTTTGTTCTTTCTTTTGGGTGGATTTGCTGTCTGGATCTAGCGGCAAATACACTTTAACCCTTCCGTCTTTCGTTTTTTCTTTACCCCTTAATGGCTCTTTAATCTCCTCTTGTCGAATGTACATAGGCTTAATTCCAAATTTAAGCAGGTTTTGATTTTTCGTTTTATACAGACCCACAACCCTCATGTCTGTATCCTACAAGAAACCCACCTGGTGGGTGGTAGAGTGCTCAGTCTGAAAAGGGCATGGGGGGGCGCTATTATCACGCTACCTACTCTACATATGCAAGGGGGGTAAACATTCTGGTGCACAAATCCTTAGCTTTTCTTGCTGCTGGACCGCAAGCTGGACCCAGGGGATAGATATGTTATATGTCATGCGGTTATTGAAAATGTCAATGTGGTTCTTGTGGGCCTGTATCTGCCCCCGCCTGCTGATGTCTCTGTCCTGCATTCCCCGATTCCTGTGCTGGCAGCCTATCAGACAGAGAAGATCGTTATTGCAGGAGATTTTAATCTGACTCCTTGCCCTTCCCTGGAATGACTTCATCCATCCACGGGTCAGTCTTTTGATCTGTCTGGGAGTGCAGCGGGATATGGTTTCACGGATGCATGGCGTTGGAGAAACCCTACCTTGCGAGCATTTACTTGTTACTCTGCCACTCATCAATCGCTATCTTGCATTGATGTCATTTTTGTCACCGACTCTCTTCTGCCCAAGGTTGGGGACGTGTCTCTTCTTCCCAGGGTATATCTGACCATTGTCCAGTCCTCCTTAAACTCTCCCCAACTAGTTCCGACTCTGGAGGTTGTCCCGTTTTTGGGTTACGGATGATAGGGTGGTACCCCTAATGGAGGATGAGCTACTTCACTACTGGCTCTCTAACCTGGGCTCGGCTCCTCCTGATGTGATTTGGGATGGTTTTAAGGCTTAGGTACATGGTCACTATCCGACTGTTGTGTCCGGGATCCACAGGCAGCTGTCCTCTCAGCTGCGTGAGGTGGAGTTCAGGGCCCAGGAGCTGGAGTCGACCTTTGTTGATTCCCTGGATTCACTAACCCATTCTAGCCGCCTGCAGGTGGCGCACAGGGAACTCCATTTCCTGTACACTGTGGATACTCGGAAACGATTGCATCATCAATCCCAACGACCCGCACCAATCCCAATGACCCGCACCAGCGCTGGAGAGGCAGCTGAAAACTACACTAAAAAAGATGTTCGGATGATTAAGAGGCATGATTTAAGGTTAGTCCTTACACTAACATTGGGTGGGGGGGAATAGCTTTTAACGTCACTTTAAGCTCTTACTTATTATACCCTAGAGAAACTCTCTATTATTTACCCTGGTGTCAGTGATCGGTGCGGGAGATGCCATTGGGCTAGGGGCACTTTCCTTCACATGAGTGCCCCAGGCTCGGTCGCTTCTGGCTTTGTTACTTGTTTAAATGCTGTAACTGGGTTGGCATTGGGGTTGGACCCTTTATTCTTGTTACTGGGCGTTTAGATTATCTTAACGTTTCCCACCACCAGCGAACCTTCCTGTTCTATGCTGTTTTATGCAAGAAGGGCGGTTCTTCTGAGGTGGAAACTCACTGACCCCCCAACCTTAGGGATGTGGAAGGCTGCGGTTAATAAAGCACTGCCTTTATATAAGCTTACGTAGATGGGTAGAGGATGTCCTGCCAAGTTTGAGAAAATCTGGGCTGATTGGCTTACTGCCCAGAGCATGACTGTACCGGACTAACACTATCTGCTATTTTTACTGTCTCATGCAACCCCCATCCCCTGTTTCCCTCCCCTTTTCCCCTGCTATGATGGCCGATCTCAGTCCCCTCCTTCTTTCCACTCCTTATCCATTTACTGATCACAGGTCATGGATGTCCTCCTGATTCCACTTCCCGAAACTATTGCCTCACTATGCTGGAATTAAGTGCCTATGAATGTATGGTGCCCTAACGGTTTTCTTGTACTGTTATGTTTGTATGTGCTTAAAACTAATACAAACTGTTAAAAAAACAAAAAACTTACAGGTCTGTAATTACTTGGTAAAGACTTTGATCCCTTTGTAAATATAGGCACCACATTAGCCTTGCACCAATCCATCGGTACCAAGCCAGTCATTAGAGAGTCTCTAAAAATTAGATACAATGGCTTTGAAATGATACAGCTCAATTCTTTGAGGACACGTGGGTGTAAGCCATCTGGTCCAAGTGCTTTGTTCACCTTAATTTTGTCCAACTGTTTCTGAACCAGATCAATAGTCATCCATTGTGGTTCAGTAGAGGCTACGGCACTGCTATCCCCATTATGGACTTGCGTTACAGCCTGTTCCTTAGTGTGCACAGAGCAAAAAAAGTATATAATAGATCTGCCCTCTTTTTGTCCCCAGTTACCAACTCTGAGTTACCTTTTAAGGGGCCTACATGCTCAGGCCTGATTTTTTGACTATTAATATTTTTAAAGAATTTTTGGGGGTTGGTCTTGCAATCTTCTGCAACCTGCCGTTCATCTTTGCGATCTTTATTTCCTTTTTACATATTTTGTTATATTCTTTGTAGCTTTCAAATGACGACAGTGTTACTTCATTTATATATTTTTTAAACATCCTTTTCTTATTGTTTATGGCTTTTTTAACATTGAACAGGAGCCACATGGGTTTTACTTTTAGCCTTTTAAACTTATTGCTTACTGAAATATATTTTGCCGTATGGTTACGAACAATTGTTTTGAAACATTCTCATTTTTGTTCTGTGTTTTTTGATGAAAATATTCCCTCCCAGTCTAAGTCTTCAGGAGCAGCCTTCAACAAGGGAAAATTTGCTCTCCTGAAGTCTAGGCCTCGTTCACACCAGATGCAGTGCGTTCCGGCCAGATTCTGGCTAGAACGCACTGCATCGCATTGCGGCCGGTTCACTTTTTAGTGGGGCAGGAGGGAGCGCGATGGGCCATGGATTGAAATGGCACCGAAGCCACGCCCTCCGGCCACAATGCGATCGGGCCGGAAGGGATCGCAAGGCACATTATGCCTGCGGTCTGGGTCAAAATGCTGCAAGCACTATTTTGATCGAACCGCACGCATAATATGCCTTGCGATCCCATGCGGCCGATCGCATTGTGGTCACTTTTTTATGGGGCAGGAGGGGGTGTGGCGGTCCATTGAAGTGAATGGCACAGTAGCCACGCCCCCTCCTGCCCTATAAAAAAGTTAGCCGACCGCAATGCGAGGCAGTGCGTTCTGGCCAGAATTGGGCAGGAACGCACTGCATCTGGTGTGAATGAGGCCTAAGTGTTCTTATTTTTCCAGTATGTGCATGTTGTTTACAACTTAAAGTGACATTAAACCCTCAGATTTTTTTAACATAAACCAATACTGTAATGTGTGCCTTACTGTAATCCATGGTTGTTTCCCTTCTCTTTGCTGGTCTTCCTTTTAAAACTGTATCTGTTCTCATGCTCTGCAGAACTTCTGTTTTGCAGCAGATTGCCTTGCCTCAGGAATGGATACACAGTGTCTGTGTATCCGTTTGTATAGGCTTGAAACCTGAGCCAGCACTACAGGAAGAGGCCCTGAGCTGAAAAGGGAAGTTCTCCCCCAGCATGAGAAGACATGAGGATTTAAAAGGAAGAGCAGCAAAGAGAAGGGAAACCACCATGGATTACAGTAAGGCACACATTACTGTATTGGTTTATGTTAAAAAATCTGAGGGTTTAATGTCACTTTAAGTTAAATTAAATCATATTATGGTCACTGCTACTCAGATGTTCTTTTATATGGATATTTGTAATAAGCTCTGCATTGTTTAAGATTA